AGCTCTCCAGGCTCCCACGCCGTCTGCTGCAGCTCTCCAGGCTCCCATGCCGTCTGCTGCAGCTCTCCAGGCTCCCACGCCGTCTGCTGCAGCTCTCCAGGCTCCCACACCATCTGCTGCAGCTCTCCAGGCTCCCACGCCGTCTGCTGCAGCTCTCCAGGCTCCCATGCGTCTGCTGCAGCTCTCCAGGCTCCCACGCCGTCTGCTGCAGCTCTCCAGGCTCCCACGCCATCGTCTGCTGCAGTTCTCCAGGCTCCCACGCCGTCTGCTGCAGCTCTCCAGGCTCCCACGCCATCGTCCGCTGCAGCTCCTCAGGACTCTCCGTCATATGCTGCAGCTCCCCAGGTCTCTCCGTTGTATGCTGCAGCTCCCCAGGTCTCTCTGTCGTCCACTGCAGCTCCCCAGGCCTCTCCGTCGTCCGCTACAGCTCCCCAGGACTCTCCGACGCATGCTGCAGCTCCCCAGGATTCTCCGACGCATGCTGCATTCCCTCTGGTTCTGTGTTTTGGACGGCCTCCCGGCCGCCCCCTGACCTGGCCCGGTTTGATGGACAGCCTCCCGGCCGCCCGCCGGAACAATGACTCCTAGGGACGATCCCTTGGCCGTCCAAATCCTTTGTGTTCCCTCGTGTTTTTCATAGTTTTTTCTCTGGCCCTCGTGTTTTCCTCGGGCCCTCCACCCTTGCAGTGCCGCCCTCCACCCGCCCAAGTCCTTCGGGAGGGGTTTTTTTTGGGGACGCCTGGGGGCGTCCTTGAGGGAGGGTACTGTAAGGATGGTACCTTTCTGTGGCCCGGTTTGTGTCTGTGTTTCCTCGTGCTCCCTCATTAGTTCTATTAGTGCCACCCGTGTCTCTTCCCAGCTGTTTGTTATCACGTCTCGTCTTGTCCCTGTATTTAAGCCGTCTGTTGAGTCTTGTTCATTGTCGCGTCATACTCGTTGGGTCTCCTGTGTTCCCCCCTGAGTCTTCCTGGTTCCTTGAGTCTCCCGTGTCTCCTAAGTCCTCCTGAGTTTCCCGTGCCTTCTTCCTATTTCATCTAAGTTTTGCTGCCCCGTCAGCTTGTTATTTTGTAACTTTATTTATCATTAAATTCCTATTTTTGTATTCTGCTGAGTTGAGTCCCTGTTCTGCACTCTGGGTTCACTCCCTCCTAGCAAATCCTGACAGTAGCAAGGTAGTCTGAAATGAAGATGAAAGACAGTCATGGATAAACATTCAGTTTAGTTAAATTCAGTTCAGTTATCAAAAGGAGGAGCCCAGACCAATGTCATTTCATATGTTGGATGTCTCCAGCAAACTGGTTGATCCACTATGAGAAGTAGCTATTTATAAGACTGAATTTATTGCAGCTCTTCAGACTTTTACATAAAAGATGAAACATTTCAACAAGTTTTTGATTTTTTTTCATTATTTATTTACTTATTATTGTTTTTTTTTAATCTGTCCAGAAGACCTGACTTAACTTTTTTAGAAAAAAAAGAAACGTAAGTACGCTCAATCATCCAGGTAAATAAATCACAAAAGACTTAACTTTGTCTGTCCAGATGACCTGACTGAAAAATGTTGGATTTTATACCTGGATTATTGAGCATGGACTTTGTTGTTTTCAACCAGTTTGACACACCTGTCAACAAGGAAGAGGGCCGGCAATGGAGGAGGGGGTGTACCAAAGAAACCATCTTAGCACCAACAAAACTGGTTTGTTCCACTTTGGAGTAAGCTCTTGGGAGAAGAATCAGTTTTGTTGTGTGTTTCCTTGACTGATGAAGCCTTCTGGATGGAAGGTGAAATGTTTCAGCACAACAAAAGAAACCGTCCAGATGACCTGACTGAAAAATGTTGGATTGTATACCTGGATTATTGAGCATGGACTTTGTTGTTAACTTTGTTAGATTTTATTATACCTGGATTATTGAGCATGCATCTGGATGATCTCCATCTTTGTTTTTTTTTCTTTCTGTCTTTTTTTGTTGTAATTTATAAATGTTATTTTTTTATGTATACAATGAAGGTCTCTAAAAGGTCTTTTTAAAGTCTTCAATTTTTAATGACAGAAACTTTAATGTATCAGTATGTTTTGTTGGGATATTTAATTTGAAGGAGGAGTAAAGACTCATGACAGATTTGGAAAAATAACACATTAAGCAATAAAGAAACAAGCAGCGTAATTAATTATTTTATCTCAGCTTACTTGCAAGGCCATCAGTCCAGACTAGAGTTGTATCCGGAACCAAAAAATTCAATCTGACCCAGCCCGCAGTCATCATTTCCGAACCCCACCCAACCCGACAAATTAACAGTAATTACAGGTCCGAACCCGGGAATAAAAACAACATTTTTAACAGTCGGAGACGTGCGGCTGAATAAGGGGCAAAAGAT